TGATTCATATATATATATATATATATATATATATATGTACATATACATTCGCAAAATGCAATGATTTTTTTAATTGTTTCATATTTTTTTTTTTGAAGCAATAATTTTCTTGAATTACGCAATCGGTATTTGGTTGTCATTGTATTGATAGGAAAATTTCTTGTTTTTTGTATTTAAAAAATGCTTTTGTTTTCTCAATAACATAAATTGTTTTAAAACAATAGTTTCCCTACTTTTCCTTGATATTTTGAACTTGTTAGACTTGACGAATAAGTTATGCCAGGTGGCGAGCTGCTTCGTTCTAATCTAGAAGAGGTAATCCGCGCATCCGACCCCTTAGCAGCCTGGCACGTGTCTGAAACACCTTGTGGTTTGATTGCGGCATTTACTTGCGAAGCTGATGCAGAAAAATTGTTGCAACGTGGCGATTTGGCACGTGTTTTTGAAGGACCTGTACAAGTATTTATTATCCTATCCATTTCAATTCCTTATTTGTAACTTATATATATGTCGTAAAATATGTACCGATTTAAATTCAAAACGTATAAAATAAACGTATTAAATACCATTTAATTTTATCGATAATTTACCTTGAAATTTGATTTGTTATTCAATTTTGTTATTATGTTCCTTGCAATATAAAAAGCTCTCGAAAAGTCAAAAATAAATCATATATAACATCATTACCCATATAATTGTTGCTTCACAACCGTAATCGCCCGTTTTCCTTTCGCTTTCTTTTATGCACAAGTTTTGCACTTGAGATAACAAAATTTGCACAACATGAATCATTAAATCTTTAAATCTTAATCTGGTCATGAAAATTTTATTTATTTGTAATTATGTTCTATTTTTATATATTTTTATAATTAAATGAAATTTAATTTATTTAAATTAAATTTTTTTCTTATTTCCTTCAAATTAGGTGGCTCGATTTTCAGCGAAAGATTCTCGTTATAGACAAGCGGTTCTTCTTCGCGATGTACCTTGGGCTATTCCTTTACAGGATATCAATTCTGCATTAATGAAACAGGGAATTGCAACAGGAAGCGTTGAACGTTGGCGACAATATATACGCGTTGAGGTAATAATTCAACGTCGACAAAACAATGATAAGGAATGATAATGTCAAAGAAAAAAAATTTTTTGCTGAAAAAAAATCTTAATCGCTAATATCGTATGACAATTTGACTAATTTATTATACCGTTCAGTTATAATGATCTACGAAATAATTTTTGAATGATTTCGATATAATTTTCTTATATTCATATTTAATTTTACGATCCCAATAATTTTTTATATTATAAATATTTTTAATAGAAAGTTAAATTATTATTAATATATATATATATATATATATATATCACTTAAAATATTCTTGTTAGGTATTAGATGCTGGACATTATGAACTCTTATTGCGTCAAGGATTGGACTTTTTCGGTGCTGCTCGATTCAGTGCTATCCCAGAGCGTTGGTGGCGCGGAGGAACCGGAAGTACCGGTGGACCGTTGCAGGCAGGGCCAGGAATAGTCAGCAACTTTCTCGAAGCGTCTAACTTTCAAACAGGGGACGGTGTTCTTCAATGTTATCGTTGCCAGGGATTCTGGCATATGGCTGCCAACTGTAGACACTTGCCACGTTGCGTTCGATGTGGAGAACCACATAGTGTTGAATTTTGTCCCAGACCTCGAAACAACCCTATTTGCTGTCATTGTTCCGGTCCTCATCATGCTGGTAAACGTTTCTTTATATCTTAAATTAACCTTCACCTTTGATGATGATCGAATTTTATCAAAAATATTTGAAATTATTTAATTATGCAAAACGTCGGATCATAGAGCAATATAAATAATTATTCTTACGAACAAAGCATAAAATTATTTGAAAATATTTTAAAGTTGCATAATATTGAAAAAATAGAAAAGTATATAGATTAAGTTTGTCAGAGATATTCAAGATATTTTGTTTTTTTTTCTTTTTTTTTTTTTTCTTATTAAATCGTCTTTTATTTTAATTTTGACAATTTATACGTAAATTTATATTATTAAATTGATAAGTTCATTAATGTAATTATTTTGATTTTAAGTTTATTTATATATTGCCATGTTCTAGGCTACCGACAATGTCCGGTTCGACAACAACTTTCGAACGCTACGCCTATTAGTATCACACTAAGCACTACTCGGATTGGAAACCAATATCCCATGAATGCAGCCTCCAAGACGAACGCGTCCGCTCACGAGCAACAGCCCTTGAAGTCAAGCCAATCTTAACGAAATATCATTGCATGTCGACGTATCGACTGTCCATATATTGACTTCAAGATCTTGTAAATTGCTCGCGTTTATCATTGCTTATTGGTATCTACTACGATCAGTTATACGGTCAGTTATAAATTTTAAAAAAGAAAGAAATTAATGGAGAAACGATGAACAAAACTATTTCTTTATTTTTTATATGTAATTTAAACGAGTTTTTATAAATTTTAATCGTTATATTATTATACTCGTTAAATAACTGAAATTAAAGATAATACATGTATATAAAAATAACATTTTAATTATTTTCAATATTCGAGTGCAAATCATGTAAATTTTTGAGATTACCAGAAACATAATGTAAAAAATTAACCATATATGTACACACTAACCAGACGATTTTCTACTTTTCGTCCTACTTTCTTCGTCCTAGTCTTTCTGAATCTGGGTTCCCCCTCCTCCAAGTAAATTCGTGCATATTGTTGGACGATACTTTGTAACTCGCAACTGATAAAAGAATGAAAATGGAGGGGCCTGAGGTATACCTACGAATCGATAGATCATGGTAGAGGGACGCCAGTTAATTCCCGCCAGATACTCGTTCCATTGGCGCAGTTTAAAGTTGTTTCTTCCAGGGATCTTCAGAAATTTGTCGAGTATTGTACGAACTCTGAATCGATCGAGACAATTGGCATTGACGTTCAACTTAATATTATCGTGTACATTACAAATGTTCCGTTTGCAACTAATTATTGGCAGCTAAATATTAAATCTTAATAGGTGAAAAATTCTAATAATAACGCATAAAGTGTTGTTACTTTTTATCGAAAGTGTAATCAATATGTGAATCGAAGCAGAAGAATGAAGAGAAAAGAAAAAACTCAGGTATTACTTTTCACATATATTGTATAAAATAATATAGTCAAATAAGTGTATAATATGTTATATTCTATATTAATATAAATACGAGTGATTATATATGTTTAATTTTTTAATATTAGAGTTTTGTTGAAAATTGAATTAAATTGTATCGGAAGATATGCACGAAAGTAAGTTGAATTTTCGCTTTCATGTAAATTCTTACATGAAAGCGAAAATTTAAAACGCTATATTTTGTTTGAATGTTATGTAACCTATATATAAAATATTCCATTATATTTATTCCTTTTTCTTGTACTTTTTCTTCCTCAATAAACATGATTTAACAATAAAATATTTCCATGAAATGATAAAAAATAATTAATAATTTTTCATTTGTTTCTTAATACTCAGTTGCGAAAAGTTTTATATTATATCCTTATTTTATAAAAATTTAACGATTTTCACATCAGCCACGATTGAATAGAAAAAAATTCTTAAAAGCGAAACCGTTTAAATAACCGTTTTAACAAGATTAAATTAAAATTAGAGAAATTTATTTCTTATTCAGAGTTCAAAACGATTCCAAGAATTGAATTCCATTCGTAACAAAGGCACTGATCAAATCGGCAATGCAACGCATGTTTCACTTGCATTAATTTAATTTCTGTTTCTTTAATGTATGAGTGATCTAACGATTTTCAGCATGATAAGCCCGAGAATGTGATTAATATGATCATATAAACAGGATAATATACATAGTGCAGTACGATTTAAAAAATGATCATGAGCTCCACAGGATGGATATTATTCTTGATCGTGGCGATCATCTCTAACAGTATTCAGCAACCGATCTTCTTCAAAAATACTTTCAAAGGATTAAATGGTATTTCAAGGGCCGATACATTCGATAGAAATGAGATCAGAGCTGTTTATTACTATGATCAGACTGTGGCAGTAGTTGATCTTGGCATTAATAATGAATTGCATAATTGCAACTTGATCGAAGTATAGTAAGTGCTTTATTAGGATTAGATTGAAATCAATATTTAGGCACAAATAAAAAAAATGCAATCGGTATATATAGCGAGCAAGATGAAGCCAATGAAGTTTTGAGGAATCTGTCATCCATAGTAATTCCTCAGCTGGTATCTTTCTCACAAATGACGAAACTTATACAACAATGCGAATTATTGGACAAGATGCAGCACGAAAGATTGTCTACAACGACATCAAACAGTGTAAATAAAGATAATTATGGAATGAGTAATGTCTTGTCTCTTCTCTCAGGTATCTTACCAGGTTCGTGATTATTGCAGACTTTCTTGTTATATTTATAATTCATCTATATTTTGAGATAAATTTTGATGATTTCATAGGTACAAAATGGTGTGGTGCCGGGGACATAGCCGATAATTACCATGATTTGGGCCAAGAAGCTCAAATTGATAGGTCAATATATGTTAAAATAAATTTAAAATTAAAGAAAATAGAAAATTATGTTTAATTAAAGTACGGTTTTCAATATATTTAACTTTTTCAGATGTTGTCGCAGTCATGATCTTTGTCCTGTAAAAATTCGAGCTCAACGAACACGATATAATCTTACAAATTATTCCGTATATACCAAGTATGAAAATAAAAATACTTATTTTATTCTTAGAGAAATTGTTTGTGATTAATGGTAATGGAAATAAACTTTTTACCTTTCTAGGTCACACTGTGTATGTGATGAAGCGCTGTATCGTTGTTTGAAAGCCACGACACATCCGACAGCACATATTATGGGTCGCATATACTTTAATATAATAAAAATACCTTGTATTGAGGATGTACCAGAGACACATACTTCCATAGGATTACGACGACAATTTATTCCTGTTAAGATGAATTATTGAAACAAACGCAAGATTGCTAAATATTATTAATAATTCAATATTTTTGTACAATATAAAGTATAAAATCGGGAAGAAAGACTTATTATTTATAATTATTGTTAATATTATATATATATGTAAATATTATAGTTATATATCTTACACGTAATCATTTAATTAATAGAGTTTGTATTTATTGATACTGTTGAATTGTATATAAAACTGTTTGCTTCAAAAATGATTCAGAAATAACTTCTTGTATCATCTTTTTTATATCAATAGAATTGTGATTATAAAGATTACCTAAAAATTATTTTTGCAAAATAAATTTAATTTTTCATTTAAATTTGTTATACCAAACAATTAATTTTATAACAATATTTTTATTATTATTACCTATTAACCATAATGTTTCTTTTCTAATATGTACATACTGACATAAAAGTAATTTATTTAATAATGTTTTTAAATTTGATAGTGAATATTTTGAATTTTTCAATAGAAACTTTGCCAATCGTCCAGATGTTTCTTGTACAATATTAGCTAATATTCTTATACATGCTGTGATCTATAATAAAAAAAGAATTTTAGTATTATATTTAGTATTTAGTATTATACATTTAATATAAATATATATTATTATTAAGACAAATACATACCTCTACTATTGATGTGATATTATTTATGCTATTTTCATATAAATAATCAACTATCAAAGGGATTGCAGAATATAAATATATGTGACACGATATTTCTGAAGATAATAATGCAAGCAACCAAATAAAATATGAATCTTCAAATAAAAAGTTTCTCTTTATAGTAGCATTGGTAAGTTCAATAATTTCTTCTTTTCTAAAAATATTCATAATTAGTGGAATATTTTAAAATATATTTTAAAAGTTAAATGAAAAAATGAGAAAGTAATCATTACAAGATGTATTGAAAACCAATATGTATATAATGCATAGCAGTATAGGCTACTGAAGGCACAATTACATTATCACAATTGTACATCAAGGATATAATATATTTCAAACAATCTTGGGCATGAAGAATTTCAAATGCCTTATTACTTCCTGAAATTAAATTTCCTATTGTCCATATGCATATTTCCTAATGAAAAAAAAATGTATTATTTTAATCTTATTCATAACTATAATATAATCTTTAACTTTTTAACTTACCAATAAAGAATAATTTAAAGTATCTAATTTTGTAATAAGATATGGTCCAATACTTTTGGTTAATGAAGTACATGCTTTAGCATTTCCAAGTGCTATATTACAAGAACAACTAATAGCACATAATTGTAAAACAGGGTCATTACCAGAGAAATCACGTACCAATGCAAATAAGATGTTATCCACTTTTAAAAACGAATTAACATTTTCTTCACTCTAATGAAAGATAAAAAAAATATTATAACATTAGTATATTTATTATTTATAATGTATTTGAATTATTACCTGAATAAGAGCATTTTGAAGCTCTTTATATTCTTCAATAGATAATGCTTTTTTTTTAAGAGCTTTTGCTTTTTCAATTACAAACTCTGTTGTAAAAGATGAATTCGTTATAATATTTCCTAAAGCCACACGACTTTTATTTATTGTTTTCATACGATTTTCCTTTCTTTCTGTATGAATCAATTCTCTCAATCCTTCCCTAATAACCTCTACAGCATTTTCTTTTATTGATTCTTCTATTTCCATCTTATTTTTATTATTAAGATAATTGTAGAAAATTATACAAAATTAAATAATATAAATTACTTTGTAGAAAAAAAATATCATTAATAATATAGTTTTTGATATTTATAAAGCATCGGCCTTTACACAAATACAAGCAATCAGGAGATATCAATCAGCTGATCAAAATTGAAATAGATAGAAAATTAACAAAATATATTGATTAAATATATCGATTTATTCTTTTTTGTTTAATATTAATAATAGGAAAATATAGTTTTCAGTTTTTGAAATGTCTATAAATAAAAAAAAAATATAAAATTATAAATAAATATATATATATATTATTACAATATATTTTGATATTATAATTAATTGGAAAATAATAACTCGTCGAAGAATTTAATAATCGTTCGAGACAAAATCATCATTGATTAACTGATTATCTTCCTCTATTTCTTCATTTTCTTGAATTCGACAAATCGATAGGATATTATATATAGCATTTGGAAAAGTGGACGTTGGACCGAGAACGTGCAATCGTACATCGCATTTTTCCAATGTATATTTCCATTTTAATTCAGTGCGTTGAGGAAGTATCATCTCCTAATTATTAAAAAATATTGAATTAAAATTTAACTATTACATTGATATAATTTAAAAAAAAATATTAACAAACCTGAAATTCATTAACTGTGCAACCAAGAACACGTTCAGCTGCATCTCCGAATAATCGACAACCAATAAGATATCCTGTACTGTCTCTTAAATTGACTTTTAGATTAAGGCTCATTATATTTAAAGGCACGCGAGTTCCGTTGCCTGAAGGACATTCGAGATTCATACACGAATCTCGATTATCAGGAATGATTTTTTTACATAAAGCACTAAAAACACGAACTATTAAAAAATACTGAAGAAAAAAAGGAAAAAAATGCACTAACCATCTTATAGATATTATTCCAGGATTTAAATTTTCCACATTTATATCCATTACGTAAGCTTTTAAAATCGTAGCAAATTGAATTCTTTCTCCCTGTTTTGATTTTTTGTTTAGCTTTTCCGAAATTTCTTGAATAGTCATAACATTCGTAATCGTATCCGCTAGAAAAATAAAAAATCAAATTATTATAATTTTTGAAATCAAAATATTAAAAAGATATAAAGCAATATAAATCTCAATAAAAAATGATTCTTCTTATATATGCTTACGATTTGGTGTCACAAAATTTCCGGACATAATATCATGTTCGTAAAATTGTACCGCGTTTCTTATAGCCGTAGTTTGCGATATATTTGGATTTTCGGTAATCATCGTTTTTCTAGCTAGAAATTTATAAACGAAGTCAGAAAAAAATTAATTACAAAATTATATGAAAACTTTTTCTTCAAATTTAATTTTTTGAAACAACCTGTAGATAAAACAGTTTTTTTTTTAAAATTGTCGTATGTGATACGAACATCCACAAGAAGGAGTACAGTACGCTTAGGTTCCCATAAACCTGCCTTTTCGATCCATTCATCTTCCCAAAGCATTAAAGACACTACTTCGTCCGTGGATCCATCTACTGCTTCAAAATTACGGAACTTTATGTCCCTGCCATCACGTGTCATCACATTTCGAATATCACTGATCTATAATACGAATTTTACGAATTATAATTTTTGAAGTAAAAATATAAATATGATATAAAAACAAAAATTTCGAAATATCTCAAATATTTCAATTCAAAATATTTTTTTATAAAATTACAGAAAAATTCTTAAAAAATCTTTTTTTACGTTTCAAACAATATTAATAAAAATAAATATAAAACAAAATTTTTATCAATATCCTTAGGTGATTTTCAAATATAAAACATACAAAGGTAACAACCACCAAGATGTCGACATATTGATCGCGTAGCGCTTCTAAGTTCTCAAAAATGCTTTTCAAAGTTCGTAGTCCGTTCAGATTCTTAATCGGGAGCATCAGCAAAGGTTCATATTTTGCGCGTGTTGGTGCATCATGAATTTGCACTAACGCGTTGCCCTCGTTTACGGTCAAGCTACATGCGCTGGACACCCACGGCATGAAAAGTTCATTTCTGTCTTCTGGACGACGCGCGATTACTTTTGGATTAATTACCTCCACTGTAAGTCAGTTTAATTTAAATTTATATGTGATTTAATTTAATATGTGTATAAAAAGTATAAGGAAATCAAAACGTAAAAGAATAATCAGAAGTTATTAAATTAAAAGAAAGAAAAAGAAAATACACAAAGTAATTCAAGTTTAAAATAAATTTCAAAAATAATATTCAAATTCAAATATTTTACATTCAAATTAAATTCAAATTCAAATTTATATATAATAAAAATATCTAACATTTAAATTTGATTCCAATTTTGAATTTAAATTATATTTGATAATTTAATTACATGTATTATTATTTTTAATTTATTACAAACCTACGCTACCAATATGAAAATTGGAAAATAATTTTCTAACAAATTGTATACTGCCCCATATAGTTACATTTATAGAATCCTCTATAGAATCACGTAACGTAAATGTCCATACACTTCGATCGCCATTGTTAACTGTAATTATTATAATTATAAATTAATAAAATTATATAGATATTTCATAAAAAACTTTGTCATTTTTATACAAAACTTTAAATAATAATTTAAAGAAAAGAAAAAATAAAATTCATACATCTCGTTCGTGTAGCATCAATCGTTTTCATATTGAAACTATTTACAATTATTCCAATTACAAGTGCATTTTGCGTACCAGGTTGTAAAGATTTTAATGCTTGTTTATACACTCCTGACATTTTCAATTTTATTTTAATTTAAATTATATTTATTTATAAACTATATTTATTTATAACTATATATATTTATCTATAATCTTTAAATTTATATTTTAATAAATTGAAATTCCACTTTGTTCTTGATACTTTATTTCTGGAATAAATATAAAATAATTTTTACCGCCGTTGTTGCCAATATTTTAAAATTTAAAGTATTAATTTTTTGCGTATTTAATTTTTCTAAATTATTTTCAATATAATTTTTATTTTGATTATTTTTTTGAATCATTAATACAAATAAAATATTTTATTATATTTCTTGATAAAGTCATTATTAAATATAAAAATATGAATAATTCTAATAGCAAATATTAAAATATTATTATGAATCAGGCCTAAATGTTTCTGTTCAAATGTTGGTAATTCTGTTACTGATGACACTTGATTCATTTTCATTGACTAGTGACGTCGGTTTATGGGAGGTGAATATTTGTGCGAAGTTTATGATTTAAGACATTTTTAAAGATATTACAAGTGCTAAGATTTCATACAACCATGGCTGATAACGAACAGAAGGCAATGCAATTATTAGTGGAGGCTGAGAAAAAGTTAACATCTTCAAAGGGTTTCTTCGGTTCGCTATTTGGGTACGTTTATGACATCGATTTACTTGAACTCGTCCACTGCTAAATCTGCAATCTCAATATGTATTATTCATTTACTTTGATTTATAATTAAAAGAATATAATATTCTTTTTCTTTATTAAAATAATTCATTTTTTTATATATTTTTGCTTAACCGTTCAATAGAACATTCACTTCTACGCATTTGCACATATATACTTGTATATGTAACAGTTTCTATTGACTATATAGTATATTAAAAACTAAATTAAATCGAAACACATGAAAATATTTATTATCTTTTAACTATTTTAATAGTTTAATGTATTAATATTTTACACTCATTTTTTATTATATTCCTACTTTTAAATACAATATTTGCTACTTGATGACTTCTAATATCTGTTTTTTTTCATATATCATATATCATTTATGTTTCTTATATATATATAAAATATAAGTTATTAATATATTATTGTATATTTTTATTATTTATATTACTATTATATTTGCTTATAGAGGATCATCAAAGTTTGAAGAAGCTGTAGAATGTTATCAACGTGCTGCAAATATGTTCAAAATGGCAAAAAATTGGAGTTCTGCAGGAAGTGCATTTTATGAAGCAGCAGAGTTACATGCTAAAGCAGGCAATCGTCATGATGCAGCTACTAGTTATGTAGATGCTGCTAATTGTTTTAAGAAATCTAATATAAATGGTATAATAATAGTGATATATATTCTAAAAAGATAAAAAGTATAAATAAAAATATAAATTTATTATTTTATATCTTTTTTAGAGGCAATCAGTTGTCTATTAAAGGCAATTGAAATTTACACTGATATGGGTCGATTCACAATGGCAGCCAAACATCATCAAAGTATAGCTGAAATGTATGAAAGTGAAGCTGTAGATCTTGAGAGAGCAGTTCATCATTATGAGCAAGCTGCTGATTATTTTCGTGGAGAAGAGAGCAATTCCTCTGCAAATAAATGTCTTTTGAAAGTTGCACAGTATGCTGCACAACTTGAAAATTATGAAAAAGCTATTCAAATTTATGAACAAGTAAGTTAAACAGTAAGAACAAGATTTCTAACATTATTTTAAATAATTGCTGAAAAAGAAAAGATTATCAAGTTCTGTTTTTTATAGGTTGCATCTGCATCTTTAGAAAGTTCTTTGTTGAAATATAGTGCAAAGGAATATTTTTTCCGAGCGGCGCTATGTCATTTATGTGTTGATGTATTAAATGCTCAGCATGCAATTGAACGTTATCAAGAACAATATCCTGCATTCCAAGATTCTAGAGAATACAAATTGATAAAGGTATAAGATATAGATTAAAAGATAATAAGTTTTTTATTTAAATGTTATGAAACTTTTATATATTTGAAAAAAATTCGAGATAATTTTTCGATATGGTTTTAATTAGAGATATTTCAATTTCAGACGTTAATAGAACATATCGAGGAACAACAACTCGAAGGTTTTACAGAAGCAGTAAAGGAATATGATTCAATTTCACGATTGGATCAGTGGTACACAACAGTATTATTACGTATTAAAAAGCAAGTTGACGATAATCCAGATCTGCGCTGATCGGTTGTTCCTACTTTGTGCTATTTTTTGTCGATGATATTATTAATCCAATTCTATATGTATTCTTTTTTAAGTCATATCCTGCTTTCAGTGGAACTTGTAAAGTAGTTTCGTTTTTGTACCCAAATATATTTTTCATAACATCTCCTTGCTCTCTTGGCAACTATTCATCATTTAAG